AATAATAATAATAATAATAATAATAATAATAATATTTTGTAAGTTTGGTGAGCATAGGCATTTATTTTAATCATTGAAATTATCGATTTTGGGAATGATTTGTAATTTTTTTGGCAAATTGTTATTTCCAGAGACAATAAGGAGCTGCACTAGCATAGAAAAAATTTTTCTGATATTTAAAAAAGTTATAGTCTTTCACAAACACACTGGTGGAATTTTTCGTCAAGTGACTGGTCAGCACTAAGCAAACACTTTGAATAGTTAGAATTTTATTGGTGTTTTTGGATTAAACGTGACACTTAAAATGCAAATCAACGAATACTTCATTTTTCTGATTATTTCTGAGTTCAACATGAGGCAATGAAAAGCGGAGTTAATTTACGAGCCTTTGAAACCGAAACAGTCGTGATGAAGAAATTTGTCGACTTCATGATATAGATGATTGATCGTATTGTGGAGCGAGTGCCCTTCATTTGGGTAAACCTTAAACCAGTTTTCATTATTTTCATTCTGCAGTGTATTAGAGAAAAAAAATTAAAAAAAACTTTTAGTGAACTCAACGAAATGGTCGAGATCTGCTCTTATCTGTTGTATTGCAAAACCTACAAGCTGTTTGAAGCTTATTAGTTGTTCCTGCAATGTCTTTGTCAGTAATGCGCTGTTGTGGTAGTGAACGTTGTCTAAAAAACGACAGAGAAGAACTTCTGCTTTTTTCAGCAATTTTTTCGGCTTTTCAATAAAAAGAAAAACACACTTGTATTTTCTTTAAATTTCTTTTATTTAACTGTAAAATGTGTTTTTAATAGTTTCATAAGTCAAGTTAGAGGACTTTTAGACAAAAAGGTTATCAAATGCGCAAACCATCAGCACTTCCATGCGCTAAAAATAATTTAATATTTCCCCAATTTCTTAAATATTCATCGGAAGCAAACGGCGATGTCAGGCTGGACTGCTAAAATTGAGAGAAAACTGGAAAATTGAGGGATTGAACCGCTACTTCTGTTAAGTACATAAACACAATAATTTTAGGCTTTTAAAATAAACCTAAGATTAAAAGAGAAAGAAACGCTGTCAAAGTCGCAAGAAAAGCGATAGACAGCGTTTTATTGTCAGCAGGTAGATGCTTCATGAAACTAACTATTATACCGCCTCTGTTTCTTAATGATCCAGAACTGTATCATGATGACTTCTTAAATTTTTTGGCTAAATCACCTATAATCTCTTCGTTAAGCTCTGAGGAAATAGATATCATACAGCAATATACGATATAGCATTATCACGTTATTGTTACTTTTAATAGCTACCCAAAATATCAAACTCTCATCATTGTTTAGTTAATCTAGTGAAGATAGTGATTAAATTTACCTCGTAAGCGAACATGTTGTCTTCCACCATACCCATATATCTTTCACTGTATGCACTGTCTAAAGAACAGTAGTTTTGGTCAAAAAATAGCAAATGTTAAATCGTTGCAAAAATGATTTCCTAACATTTTGAAAGTCTTTAACTTTAATCTATTTTTATTATCTGTTGAAAAAGTATTTTATTAACTGCAAAAACTTTTTAATTTGACTTACCTATTAAAATTGAACAAGAAAAATTTCAACGTTCATTATGTAAGAGATATTTGTCATTTTTCAAGTATCAACATATTTGTACAAGAAATCTATGGAAATTCACTGTGCCTACCGTAATAAAGAAAGCTAACGACTGGAGCTACAGCTACTACACATTTTACAGTCTTCCCGCCATCTCGTCCGCCAATATGAAGCGTTACAAATCCTCCATAAGACTACAAAATTATTTTGTTTTTGCAAATAGCAAGGTTTAAATAAATCAGTAATTAATGGATTCGTTAATAAACCTCTATATTTTTTCAAGAAATTAATGACTGGAACAAAACAATTTGAAACATATACGTCTTTCATACCCATCCAAATGCAGCAACTCGGTTTTTGTCCATAAATGGGTATTTCGCAAGAAGTTTTCTGAACAAATAGATATTTTTCACATTATTTTAATACAGAGTAAACAAAGGCTGCCGACATATAAAATAACGCTTTTTTCGCAGATAGCCTGCAAAAATCACCTTAAAATATCAATTTGGTCGTTGATTTCGGGACCGCCAAGGTTTTTGTAGATTTCCTCCTTAACGTTCCATCCTCTGTTGGCTGATCCAGTCGCATCAATTGTTATTATAATGTACTGCCTATTATTTGCCAAAAAAGTTAGCAACTCCCATGGTGTTTCTGCTTTTGATGATGCAGTATTTGGACCAGCATATCTGTAAAATATATTTTCTACTAAAACAAAGAAATTACAGATAATGTAGAGTATTGTCTTGCAAGCCTCATTTTCAGAAGAGTGAAAAAATAGAAGAGAGAGAATATATCAAAAAATGCTAATAAAATAAGCGGAAAGCCTTACGCGTATAGTAAGACGGGATACTTTTTTTCTTTACTGATATGTGGCGGCAATATTAGACGAACATGAGCAGCTATAAGAAAAAAACGATTTGCTTTTATCAGACATGTTAACAGTCGAAAAAATTATAGTTTTTTATGTTAAGAGTTTATTCTTAAAGTATATTAAAGTTACTAATTGCTCCGTCGGTGAGGATTTTTTCGAAAATTATTTCTGGCACCTCGAAACTGTATTTGGTAGATACTGTTTCCTTCAACACGGCCACTGGAAATCACTTGAATAAGCGAAAACTGTTTAATGCGGTAGCAGTACCTCGCCAAAAATATTAGTACCAGTTTAAAAAACCATTATAAAAGGTAATTTATCAAAGTTATTAAAGACAAAATATAAAAAGTTTTCTAGAGGAACAGTTTGACTGTCGATTCTCTTTTAAACCGTAATGTCTGAAATTTTCATAGTTCAATTACTTCGATACAGGTACAAAAGAGACATTAATTAATTTCAAATGTAATGTGACCGCATTTTTTGATTCATATCTAAAAGAATATATCTATAATGAAATATCCTCTGTTTGCTTTATATAACTGCTCATTAACGAATTGCCAAAAAAAAGAGGAATTTTTGTTTTAAATCAGACTTTTAGATGCAGTTTGAACGTTCCATAGCGTAACTTCCGGATCTTTATAAACTCCGTGGCAGACCAGCAAAAAATAACTTCCTTTTGGAGAAGGTGCGAATATAGGCTTTTGGCACATATTCTGAGAGCAACTAACACAGACTGGACGATTGTCAGGCTCATAAGTTATGTTGTTAATTCGATACAGTAAACTGCAACCGTTGGTCTCACCTGCTGTTAGAAAGTAACTAAAAAACATTGGTTTTTTCGCTTCGCACGCAGGGAATTTATCAATTAAAAACGTACTTTTAAATTCTTGTTGATAAGCTTAGTAAAATCTTGACACTGTCTCAAGTTTTATAAATTTATAATTCAGTAATTTTAAATGAGCTATCAGAAGTATAGAAGACAGCGAAAAAAAAAAAAACAAGAAGATGAACAATACTTACATTTCATCCCTGTCTTTTGCGTAGCCAACAATTTCACTGACGTCGTAAGAACCACCAGAATAGCTGCGAATTTGAAGATCCTAAAAAATTCTAGTGCCCTTATTTTTGCGCAGTCTATATAACGTTCTGACGCTGTGTTAACAGTTAACACTCACAGAAGAATTTATTTCAGAAAGAATAAAGTGAAAGAGATGAAGACTGACTTTTATACTTAAAGAAGCGATGTGGTTATAAATGTTGTTTTTATATTTTCGTGGAAGCAGTAGAAACAAGTAATCTCTCGAATACGCATTGACCTTGAAATCGGATGGCTCAGCCCAGAGTTTTCGTCCATCAATGTCAAAAGATACTTTTTGTACTCTAAGCGCTGACTAAATTTTTAACATTTATCGATTACGTATTTCCTTCACTATCACCAACATTTTATCAAAAACATATGAAACGTTGGAAAGTTTAAAAGTTTCACTGTAGTTCTTCGCTGTAGGCTAAGAAAAAGCAGAGAAAGAGAAGCTGTTTGTTTTGAGAGGTAAAAACCATACATTTCTGAGAGTACAACGAAGAGTGCCTTGGCAGATCAACTAACCTCAGAACAATCTTCTGACGGGTTGCATAAACTGATATAAGTTTCATTTTGTGGACGATTGGCCCAAACAGTAAGCAGTAAGTGCTGTACAGCCGAATTTGCATTGTCCGCAACTTGTTCAATCCACTGAACGGAAAATAAGTATGCGCCGCTGCAAAGTACTTGTTATAGTTTAACAACAATTTGACTACGCGACGTCAGAAACAGAAACTGTGAGAATTTCAAATAATGGTTTGCAGACCTAAAATATAAACATTTTGTCCTGTTTTTTTAATCGCGATGATACGCTTAATTTGTTCCCTTTATTAATCTTTTTTTCAAATTTTTTTGAAGTGACTGCTACGTAACTCACAGCTGTTTTGATTTTATTTTTATAATTTTGTATCTGTCAAGTGAGTAAATTTACTTCTGCTCACCAAACTAAAAACAGTTGGGAAATTTAATACTTAACCAGCTTCTCTCAATCTGCAAATTGAAATTTTTTTCTGATTAAAAAATCAAATTACTTTTTGTTTTGATTGTTCAGTTCTCTTGGTTTTGCCACGCTTTCTGTTTTCTTCGTTTTTTTATTCCAAACCCAAAGCGCGACAACAGGATTTTGTTTTGTTCCTGTTGTCGGATACGGGTACACGTCATGAACAGGATTTGGATGTTCGTAGGTATGATGTGGTATCCATAACAAAAAACAAAATTTAAGAAACACTTTAGTTTTAAAAAGTATAGTCTACCAAGGATTTTGAAAGCTTTTCACGAAAAAAAACCAGAAAAACCACTGGAAATACCTGGCTGAGTTCAACACTACTGTCATCAAATGATGCGTATGCAATTAAATTACCAGAAGGTGACCACCAGATAGCATGAGAATTAGCAAAAATTTCTTCTGGAAAAGACTACAAACCTCAAATATCTAAAAAATATTTTTTAACATCTCAAGAACCCTACTGATAAATTTTTTTGTTATCCTCTGATAAAAATTTAGCATTCTAATTTTATTTTTGGTTTTAGGAATATATACACTGTTTTGAATGTACTTCTTGTACACTACCTTCATAAAGCCAATCAGCGACGCCATTATACCTAAAAGGGCCACCAGTAGTAGTAACCGGTATTGTAATATTATTGTTTTCTGGGCTTGGATGATAGTATATGTTATTTCCATAAACAGTTACCTAAATCACCAGCAACTTTTTGTTGCTTAACAAAAGCTGTACATATATCATTTAGACATATGACTAAGGTTGAACAACATACGTAATCGTTACTGCCTGAAAGAGGGTTCCAAACGAAAAGTTGGAGGTAATTGTCAGAAACTTCAGCGCTTTCTGCTTTGTACCCAGAACTACAAAAGAAATCTACACTTACTTTTATTCAAATAAAATGTTAATAACTTTAATAAAGCGGCAACAACTTATCACACTGCATTATTTAGCTTTAAAATAGCAAACCTTATTGTACCATTATTATATTCGTATATCTCATAAACAGCCAAATTAGAGTATCGAAAGTTCTAAAAGTAAATTTTATTTAAGGCATAATCATAACAAATGCGTTTAAAAAATATCAAATGTTTATGAGAAATCAAACATGCAACAAAACTTTTATTTAAAAACTCTGTCGAAAGTTGAAAATAAGCTATTTCACATCGAATAACAAACTTGCGTACAAACACAAATTCCAAACGATGCACAGAAACTTACACTCAGCGAATTCTTAGGAACTGCAAAATATCGGCCATCAGCACTAATAAGGGCATCGCTAAAGAATCCGACGTTGTTTGGAAAAGAGCCTTGGCTGACAAGAATTAACGGATTTTTAAAGCCTTTACTCTCTTTCAGGAGCTGAATACAGTAAGTTACTATTAAGTCTTTCTAATGACAAATTAGTTTTTTCTTTCTTTTATTGAAATTATAGCTTTTACGTTTTTAAGTCCTTAAAGAAAAAAAAATGAAATTTTAGCCAGAAAACTTTACATAAAAGAAGTTTTTAAAAGGAAATTATTGAAAAAACTCGGTTACAAGCCGTTTCTAAACAATGGTTTTTAACTAACGTTCTCAGGAAGTGTTTTTCAGATTAAAATAAAATTATTTAAAGCTTAACTGAAACAGCAAAAAAAGTTGTAGTTCCTCAAATTTGACAATAAATTTACTTGCTATGTGCGTTCAAGAACCAAAAAATGCAAGACAACTGGAGCAGATGTCAAAATCTGTCGTGTAATGTGATTTAGTCAGATTACGTTACGTAAGCAGATCTAAACTTCTGCGCCGGAACTTTACCAGAATATTGCCATAATCATCGCTAGTGATAAGGTCTTCCTTGGCAAACCAACGCATAAACGGAGGTCTGAATTCTCGTGCTAAGCCAGTGGCCAAACCGGCAAAGCTTAATTTGGTATAATTATTAGACGAAAACACTTTGCTTCGAGGAGCATTTCTGGGTTCTGAGACATACGGCAAAATATAATTTTGCGAGAAATCAACAGCTAAAGCAGCATTTATTACTATTAAATTATTTAGACAAAGAAAAAATGTAAAAGTTTTGAGGCAACTGGTCTTAGATAAAAAAAATTTTGCTCCAACAGTTCAGAGTAGCTGGTTACTGCTTTAGATACATTCACACAGCAATTCATAAGAGTTTAATTATCTTGGTTTGTTACGACAGTTTTGTCTCAGATATGAGCCATTTACAAGCCCAGCCAAGTCACGCCAAAGTTTTAGCTTCACTTTTTGAAATGCCTTCTAAGCAGTTTTTTTGTTTTTTTAAAGCATTTTAAATTATCTAGTCTTTCTTGCAGTCATTACTGAGACTAAATACTGACGCACACTGTATGCAATATACATTTGTTAATAAGAAATACCATGAAAACTATTCAATTAAAAAAAAATTAGCAGAAAAATGAAACGAACGTTTTTGGGTTAGGATTAGAGTGACTGCAACGGAAATTGAAATTACTACGACGATACCGAAAGAAACGGCTAAGACGCGGAAGCATAAGCGAGTCAGTTTTGCTTTTATGCCTCTTGGCTGCAAAACAGAAATTATTAAATGACTAGCTAATATAAGCAAAAACATTCAAATGTTTCGAAATTAGAAACTTTTGTAAATTTAGCAACTTTACAGCAGATTTCTAGTAACCTTGTATATCTATAAATGTGAAAGCATTGCTGTTATCGTCATGTCCACTGTATCCTCAACGGGGTTAAACACCTAGCTTCAGTTACATCTGTTCAGAAATGCAAGATAAAAAAATAATTTTTGGTTTACAAGAATACTTTAGTAAAACTGATAGTGGTTTCTAATGCTTTGGTAACGATATTACCATGTAGCAAAAAAATAATATTTTTTTATTAAATGTTTGTGGTGTCGTCGCTTTACAAGGCTCATTTGACTGAAATTTTTTCGCCGTTGTTAGAACATCAAGAAAGAAGATGTATGCACAAAATACCGCAACTCTTTTTTGTGAATAGCTAATTTAATTGCGTTTTCCAACCACACACTTAGAGCATCTAGGTTTAGTTTTGAATTGAGTTATTGAAAACAAATGCCAAAAATTTTGACTTTTTTGCATGACAAAAAAGTTAAAATCATTGTTAATTAATTAAAGACGATCCGAGTAAAACGCGCTCTACACAGAGTTTCTTAATTTTGACAAACATACGAGAATGTGGCATAAAAAATGAGTTTTTCAAAAGATTTATCTTTTAGTACCTTCGCCAACTGCTCCCTAAATTTTTCACAAGCATAATGGTAAAAGTCATTAACAACAACATTTCTTTTCTGTTTTTTTTAACCAACAAAGAAATTTTTTTTAATTGAAACACGTTTTTTTTTGCCTGCTTAGCAGTTCAAAAAAAAAAAGCTTTTTATGCTGATTATTAATGAAAGTTATAAAAATGTCTCGCCAAAACAGTGAATTTGCTGTATCAAAATGTTGTGCAATCTTGAACAAATAAAAAAACAAAATTTGTTTGTTTGTCACCCCCTCTCTTCTAAAAAATCCTGACTTTTGTCATCAGCAGAAAAATCTATAAATAAATTTTAAAAAATTTAAGTCTAGAAAACTACTGTTTAGTTTTTCTAATCGAAAAAAATCACTTAGCTATAATCGCCATCTTCATTTTTAGTTAATTCTCTAAAACTATCACTTAGCTTCATTACCATTTTTTGTTACCTTTAAATGCTAAAAATGCATTGACTGTTCTTTACAGTCTACACTTGTATTTCCAAATATTAAGCCTTAATGAGAAAA